GAAACCAGAGAGAAAATCACACATCCCATTTCTCACACCGACCTGTCCCTGTTGCTCAGGCCCAAAAGGAGTTTTATGGTCATTTCCCTCCCATTCACTGCAGATGGGTTAAATATTACATCAAAGGGTCTTTAATGTTTCACCTCTCACATTTCTTCTCAGTATCAAGTTCAAAACTAGTGTAGGCTGCGTTTTTACAGTAGATTTAATGGATCAATGTCCATAATCACATTAGCACTGGCTTAACGTATAACAAATTTCACCGTACCAGCATCAAAGACCTGACCTCTTGTTATAATCAGGCATAGCATCTTTTGCTCTACTCAACATTTTTGGCCTTTGTGATACTGGGCGAAAAAGAAAATTGTCAAGGGGGTGATAAGCTGTTGTGTACGCGGCTCAGAGAGAAAATGTATGAGAGAAAAACGTTTGTCCCCCCATACTCATAAAGTCACAGATGCTTTGTATGCCTCCTTACAGTTTTCATGGCTCACCCTGATAATCATTTCCTTATCAGAAGACTCTTTTGTCATTTGTGTTTCTCATCGGGGTAAAGCTCTAATCCACAGGGAGTCCACGGATTTTATAAACTTTCACTGGTGGCCATACTGATTGATGCCATTTTGACAGAAGGAAGAAAAAAAAGGAAACCTTGTTTTTTGTTTTTAAAAACTATACCACAGTGGCCATCGCTCAGCACTTCCTGTTTAAGTCCAACGGGCCATCAATGAATAATCCAGATTAGCAAAAGATTCAAATAGACAAACTGCAGACAAACTAGAATTGATGGCTTCCACTGAGCCGCTCGAGGAAAAGGCCATGACGTAAAAGGAAAAACATGTCAGGTTCTCCCAGCCAGGTTAATCAAGACAAGCTTCCCTTGCAAAAAGATGTGTGTGTATGTGTGTGTGTGCGTGTGCTAGTGTGCTTGATTGCAGCCTTGTGCGTAAGTAGGTGTGAGCCCATTGCTCATTCATAATATGCAATCTTATTTTACGGCTGATTGTATTTGCCATACATAGGCTGTATGCATGAGGTCCTCTTACCCATATTTCTACCCTGCACAGCACAAATAAACAAGAACACTGGATAATCCATCATCTTGTGCGCTGTGGGAGTGTGCCCAACATAAACATGGCTTCTGTTTTCTATCTGTGTCTATGTCTGTGCGGCAGAGACCGCGTGTGCGGGCTGGGATGGGTAGCACCATTATGTTAGTGCACGCTGATTGTCCGTGGCTGTGAAACATAAACCTCCTGCACTAAATGAGGATTATACAAATGAGCTTCCTCTTCGCTCTTTGTTTCTGCGTCCCACTGGCTGGACAAGACGCAGAGCGGGGAGCGTGCTTTGCTTCAGAGCTTTGAAGTCCTCTAAAGATGACTCACATGTGGGTTTGTGAAGAGCCGAAATGGGGGTCAAGGTGACACGCCTGTAATTGTTTTAACGTTTATTTTCTATTAGCTTAGCTCCAAGGAACTGGTTTTGATTTAGGCCAGTAAAAGAACTTCTATCATACAATCGTGTGTTAGTCTACATAGAAGGGAGCGTTAAGTCTCAAGCAGGATCAATCTGCAAGCAGTAGGTGATTAGCTACAACCCCTTTCTCTCCTGAGATTTTCTGTTTGCTCAAAGCAGTCATAAACACCAAGTTTCTTCTTAATAGAGCTGAGGTCAACAGTTTAAGACGTGTGTTCCACATCAGTGCACTGATTTCCATTTTTCAATTAAAAATGTGGGGCTATATAATAACCAGAGCAAATATTAGGGCCATATAATAACAGACGATCCCTTTAAATCAACATTCATATTGCACAATAAATATCTAAATAAGGAGAATGTCTCCCGAGAATTAAGATATGTCTATCTGAGGTTAATTCTCCACGCTAGATGACTCGTTGCTTCAGGCAAATTGATGCCTTATGTCAGAATTATAGCAACAACTGACCTCATCTACAGTAATTTCTGCTTAATCCCAGATTGACTTTCCCTCATTGCGCCTCTTGACATACAAGACTGACAGCTACTCCGTAGCAAAAATCCTAGTAGTAACAATGGTAAGACCATTGTACCCACCATAATGCATACAATATCCTCATTCATTGTACGAGAGCTTTATTTACAGAACCCTCTGGGTAACGCAATGCCACGCTGTGATCACACACACCAGCCCACTGCATGTAATTATACTCAGCCTGCTCTCCAATCTGTCACTGCCCAACCTAATTTGTAAGTGTGCATGTACAGTGATTAAAGAAATTTCTGTGCCACTGCAAAAAAAAGTGGTGGTGGAGGTGGAGGGGGGGTCTATCACTCCCTTCCTCCACATTTGAGGAATTCTCTGAGAATGAGGCGACGCTGCCATGTCAGAACGAGCCAGGCAGACGTGTACAGATCGCCAGCACTGCTAATGCATCTGAGGCACTGGTGTAGCAGTCAAGCCATAATAATTAAAGACATACAGCATCTTAGGGCTTCATTAATCATGGTTTATATGGACTTTGAAGCCCTAATGAAAAACAGCCTGCCTTCCCGGGTTTATTGTGTCTGTACAAATTGTGGGGATGGCGTATGCCAGGAATCCCCCCATCGTTTCTCCAACTCTGACCGGCTGTTCCAGGATGTAGTGATGGAAAACAAAAAGATAAGATTTGGTGAAAAGTTTAGCGGTGGTTATGGAAAGGTCAGCGGTCAAGACTGTTTATGTAGACATGGAGTGCCATTCAAATCAGACAAATCAGAGCCGGTGCTGAGGCGGTGACAGTGGGTGATTGCATGCCTTTGTGTTGGTACTGCTGCCGTCTTCGATAGCACCGCAAGATCAGGCCTTTACTTGGCAAAATGGAGACCTGTGGTGCTCTGAAGATTCATCTTTGATCTGGGTCTAGTTTCTCAGATTCTCACCGAGCGCTCCAGCATTTTCTGGAGGCGCATTTCAACGAGATCGGAGTTAGAGATTACTGGGTATTAAGCTCTCAGTGCCAGGAGTGGAAATTACTGTGAGGCTGTCAACGCCAGCGTTCTCTCTGCTTGTTTTCTCCTGGAGACAGGGAGGTAATGCTTTACTCAACACATTTTATCCCAATGGCTTGCGACTGTTCCCTGGCAGTGCTATCAGTGGTGAGTCACCGCCATATGTAGTTCGACAAAGACCACAGAGAGAGAGACTGCTTAGGACTCCAGCACAAGACACATGTGTCTTCTCCCAATAAAAATCCCTCTGGCAGATTTACATTGCATTAGTTCACTGCGCCCGAGGAAATATACAGTAGAGGGCAGAGAGGTGCGCATTCATCATCTTAAATGCAAAGGTTGATGTGATTTTGGTTGAGAGTCCTCCCTGCAGGTGCTAATACCCAAAGGAAAGTTGTTAAAAATTAGCATCACGGACAATCTACACATACATTTCTGTCTTTTTGAACTATATCTAATCACCTTTGTGTTCTCTAAATAGGCACAAATCAAATGCACGCCGCCGTGGAGTTGGAGTGTGTCCGATGAGGTTCCACAGTAAAATTCTGTGCACTACCTGGCAGTGATTCATTTCCTCTCCAACAAAAGTTCCTCACTTAAATTTGTCATTTTATGGAGTGCTTCTGACACGGCACAACCGACAGATGAAAGTTAAAGTGGCCTCTTGGAGTAAACAAGTCAGAAAGCTCCGAGTTTGGCTAAATTAAAGGAAGGCCAGGGGTGAGGGTGGGGGTGGAGGGGGACGTGCTGCGCTTATTTGAGAGCCAACAACCATCGTGCTCTCTGGACCCTGCGGTTTGTCAGCGTTCCTCCCAGGTGAGCTCACACTGGGCCACCCTCCCCTCCCCTCCTTTTCTGCCCAAGCCAGGAAGAAACAGCGTCCGCAGCTCTCTCCGGCTTGACTCATACAATATTTTGCTGGTAGTCAAAACAAAATTAGCACTGGTTTGTTATTTCTGGTTAGCTCATCCATGACCCCCTGTCTTCACTACTTCTCAGGAGGGGAAGGGGGGATGTTTAGTTGCCACCTTTCAGTTTCTGAGTATTAGGATGCTGAGGATCCTTCTGGTAGCTACATTTACAGTAATATTCAAGTTCAGTGACATTACTGAAGTGGTAGATGATCCACTCTTCAACTCTTGGTGAGCATCTCGACTGTCCAGCTTTCCTGTTTTGTGTGTGATCCTGTACTTGATCAGCTGAACTCTTTTTTTTTTTAACTTTTAGACAAAAACAAGCGATATAAGGCAATGATATATAGGTTAAAGGCTTAAATAGTATACTTAGGAATCCTAAAAAATCAACTACAGTATAATTTGAAAGATTTTGGAAAATGTTAAGGAGAAAACATTAGAGGGATTTTAAAAAATGGCTTGACCCCATCTTTAAGTAATCTTTCATGCTTTCTTACTAAAAGAACAACTTTGGTGGCTTTGTTACTGTTGCTCACGCTACCATTGAGCTCACAGCCTAGATAATGGCGCCATCCTGTGTTGAGCATATGCACTACAGGTCCACTTGCAAGATTTGGATATACAAATGTTACACTGCACAACGCTTTGGTTGGTGCTTCACCTAGCTGTTAAGGGTAGAAATGCTAATATGGGTGGGGTGATGCACTGACAAACAAGCCTTTAAGAAGCACAACAATGTATTTATGTTGCTCTCGTCACTGGTATATTATACTACACACACTTGGGGGAAATCCTTTATTTTATTAATCTTGTCTTTCAGTTTCTTCCAAGATTTAAAAGTCATGTGAAAACATCAAGAGATAATTCTGCTTTCATTAATATTTGCAGATTACCTACTTTATTGCACATTGTAAGAATAAATAGGTAAAGAAAAAATAAAATAGACATTCAACCACATATATTATTGTCTAGCTAGCCACCAATAGTGCAAATAGTACCTTCAAAACCTCTAAAAGCTCCTTTATTTTATCTCCGTGTGAAATTGTTAGGCCGGTTGAACCTGTGCGTGTCTTTTTGAACCCTTTTACACTAATTTGAAAAAGAAATTCTTCATTAAGGTTTCAAGAAGTTCTTGATTCTTGCAAGTGACTTTGTTTCCTTTCCCGGGTCGTCCACCTCATCCTCTTCGCGCTGCACCCTTCTGGGGTGCAGTTGGACGTAGTACAAAATGAGGCACGCCAGTCCCAGCACTGAGCATCCACAGATTAAACCGCTGATTGTCAGCAGCAAAGTGCTTGTTTGCAGCTCCGGCTTTAACAAAGCCATCAACGACGGCGACATAATGTTAATAATGGTGTAGAAAATGTAGTAGGTGGTCATGGCTACTTTTGTGTCTTGTCCTTTCACATTAAAAAATGTGAATGTCAGGATGACTCCTACAACTGCCCTGTAGAGAAACTCCAGGCTTCTGCCTGAGCAGAATTTGGTTTCAAGCAAATGTGTCCATATTGTTGCCAGCAGCCAGAGGACAGTGAGTGCTACTGTGGTGTAGATACTCAGTATGAGAAGGAGGCTGTAGCAGAGAATGAGGCTGGTGATGGTACAAATTTTGTAGAGGATGTAGATTGCTGTGGGGAGGCCAGAGGGCATTTCTCTGATATGGGGGAGAGATCTCCGCAGGCAGCGGCGATAGTCCACCAGTGACCATGCAATGTTACAGAAGGAGAAGGCCACGGATAGACCTGAAAGACAAGAATAGGCAGTGTAAG